GGAGGGGGGCAGAAGAGTTTCCCTGGTGGTGCCCAGAGTGGACACCAGGGAAAGCTGGGGAGGGCTAACCTTCCACTAGTTCAAATTAAATGGCTACACAGCCCTTAATTCGAACTAGTTAATTCGAACTAGGCGTTAGTCCTCGTAGAATGAGGTTTACCTAGTTCGAATTAAGCGCTCCGCTAGTTCGAATTAAGTTCGAACTAGCGGTTTGCATGTGTAGCGCCTATCAAAGTTAATGCGAACTAACGTCTGTTAGTTCGCATTAACTTTGTAGTGTAGACATACCCGTAGATAGAAAGGATCACAAGACTCACTCCAGAGTAAGGTAAGCAGCAAAAGGCGGCAACTCACCCAGGGAACCTGAGACTACATTAAAGGAAATGGTGCAAAAAAACCCTTAAAGACTGCTATATGGGAATTAGCCAATGCATTAAAAAAAACACCTTGGGGCAGCCCCACTGAACACAATTATAGTGTCACTCTCCTATATGGGTTTTCTGATGCGAGACAAGCTGTGAACTAGAACTGAAGCCTTTCCTGCACTCAGGGCATCGGTAGGGTCTTTCTCCAGTGTGGATTCTCTGGTGTATGACAAGCTCTGAGCTCCGAATGAAGCGTTTTCCGCACTCACAGCAAGCGTAGGGTCTCTCCCCGGTGTGGGTTCTCCTGTGGATGATAAGCTCAGAGCTCCGGCTGAAGCTTTTCCCGCACTCAGGACAAGCATAGGGCATCTCCCCAGTGTGGATCCTGTGATGCGTGGCAAGGTTTGAGCTCCGACTGAAGCTTTTCCCACACTCAGGGCATGTGTAAGGTCTCTCTCCAGTGTGGATTCTCTGATGTGTGATAAGGTTTGAGTGCCAACTGAAGCTCTTCCCACACTCGGGGCACATGTAGGGTGTCTCCCCCGTGTGGCTTCTCTGATGTGTGATCATCTGTGAACTATCACTGAAGCCCTTCCCACACACAGGGCATGAGTAGGGTCTCTCCCCTGTGTGGATTCTACGATGTGAGACAAGATGTGAGCTATAGCGAAAACCTTTCCCACACTCAGGGCATCGGTAGGGTCTCTCTCCAGTGTGGATTCTCTGGTGCTTACTAAGATCTGAGCTGCGAGTGAAGCCTTTCCCACATTCAAGACATATGTAGGGTCTCTCCCCTGTATGGATTCTGTGATGTCTGATAAGCTCTGAGCTCCGGCTAAAGCTCTTCCCGCATTCCAGGCAAGCGTAGGGTCTCTCCCCGGTGTGGGTTCTGTGGTGTGTGATGAGGTTTGAGCTTCGGCTGAAGCTTTTCCCACACTCAGGGCATATGTATGGTCTCTCTCCTGTGTGGGTTCGCTGATGTGTAGCAAGCTGTGAACTATGACTGAAGCTTTTCCCACACACTGGGCATGAGTAAGATCTCTCTCCTGTGTGGGTTTTCCAATGTGAGACAAGCTGTGAGTTAGAACTGAAGCTTTTCCCACACTCAGGGCATGAGTAGGGTCTCTCTCCAGTGTGGATTCTCCGATGTGAGACAAGCTGTGAGCTAGAAGTGAAGCCTTTCCCACACTCAGGGCATGGATAGGGTCTCTCTCCAGTGTGGATTCTTCGATGTGTGACAAGCTGTGAGCTATAGGTGAAGTCTTTCCCGCACTCATGGCATTGGAAGGGTCTCTCGCCAGTGTGGATTCTCTGGTGCTTATTAAGTTCTGAGCTCCGAGTAAAGCTTTTCCCACACTCACTGCAAATGTAGGGTCTCTCCCCAGTGTGCATTCTCCTGTGGATGATAAGCTCTGAGGTCCGGCTGAAGCTTTTCCCACACTCAGGGCAAGTGTAGGGTCTCTCTCCGGTGTGGATCCTGTGATGTATGATAAGGTTTGAGCTTCTGCTGAAGCCTTTCCCACACTCAGGGCATGTGTAGGGTTTCTCTCCCGTGTGGGTTCGCTGATGTATGAGAAAGACTGAATTATGTTTGAAGGTTTTCCCACAGTCAAGGCAGGTGTCAGTAAGAGCTAAGACCACCAAATTTGCAGGCACCTTCCTCTTATCACGCATGTGTAGGGTTTCTCTCCCGTGTGGGTTCGCTGATGTATGAGAAAGACTGAATTATGTTTGAAGGTTTTCCCACAGTCAAGGCAGGTGTAGTGTGTCCCTTCTGGGCTGATTTTTTCATGTCTAATAATGTGAGAGCCACTCCTAAATTTTTTTTCTGCTCTGTGCTGATTCTGACAGGCTTCTGTCTGTGCACCACTACAGGACACATCCCTTTTTGATCTTTCTAATACTGTGCCAGGTGGTTCTATTTGCTCAGCATCTTCTTGTTGAAGACTATTTTCCTTGTGCTCATTCACCATCCCACCAGTTGCTGAAATAAAGAGAGAAAATAGATGTAAATCACTCCCTTTGCCAGAGGAAAAAGGAAACCTCAGTGAGGGTACGTCTACACTACAACGTTAATTCGAACTTAGTTCGAATTAGTTAATTCGAACTAAGCTAATTCGAGCTAACGGATCCAGATTAAAAAACTAATTCGAATTAGCATTTTGCTAATTCGAACTAGCATGTCCACATTAAGTGGACCCTGAACCAGGCTTAAGGATGGCCGGAAGCAGTGCCGGCAGGGCATCAGAGGAGGACTTAGAGCGTGGAGATGCTGTCTCAGGCTAGCCGAGAGCTGTGCTTAAAGGGTCCCGACCCCCACCCCAGACAGACAGTTCTCAGGGGTGCCCCGCTTGCAAAGCAGTCCTGGCTTGGATTGCCTGGAGTACCCACACTGGGCACATCACAGCACTCAGCCATCAGACCGGCTGCACTTGCCGCAGGCTGCCATCTGGGGAGAGGGGGCAATTGGGGGGCTGCAGGAGAGCTTCCACCCCCAGAAGCCCGCAGAGCCAGCCCAGTCCTCCCCATCGGGGGCGCGTACCCCATTCCTCCCTCACCTCCGTCCACTTACCCTTCCCTAGCCCCTCTTCTTGATGTACAAAATAAAGGACAATTGTGTTCAAAAATGGAATCTGTCTTTATTGAACAAAACTGGGGGAGACTGGGAAAAGGAGGTGGGAGAGGGGAAGAGAGAGGGTGGGAGAGGGGAGGGCAACTAAAATGATCAGGGGTTGGGAACAGGTCCCATATGAAGAGAGGCGAAAGAGACTGGGACTTTTCAGCTTAGAAAAGAGGAGACGGAGGGGGGGACAGGATAGAATCATAGAATAATAGGACTGGAAGGGACCTCAAGAGGTCATCGAGTCCAGCCCCCCGCCCTCAAGGCAGGACCAAGCTCCGTCTACACCATCCCTGACAGATGTCTATCTAACCTGTTCTTAAATATCTCCAGAGAGGGAGATTCCACCACCTCCCTTGGCAATTTATTCCAATATTTGACCACCCTGACAGTTAGGAATTTTTTCCTAATGTCCAAGCTA